CCCCAAAACCCCAAAACCCCAAAACCCCAAAACCCCAAAACCCCAATTGGCAGTAAATTTTTGAAGTTTCTGATATAGCTAGGAAATTTTATTGTTGGATTTGCTTTTTGATTAGATATTTCTCAATTTGTTCATATCCATTCTCTTTTGCTTCATCAATAGGGCTGTTGCCAAATCTATCATGAACATTGATTTTCGCTCCATGCTTCACAAGATATTTTACAATATCAAAATTTCCATAGTTGGCAGCAAGATGTAAAGGTGTTCTGCTGTCATAATCTGAGTAATTTACGTTCATTCCTTGAGCCACTGCTCTTCTCATATCAGCTAGTTTATTTTGTTTGGCTAGGTATAAAAGATGGAAAGAATCATTGGAATGGTCTTCACCTTCTTCATCTACTTGCTTTCTACCCCAGATTCCTGCACTATAAACATGGTCAATGTCATCATATCCTAGTTCCTTTATTAATTCAATGAGAAAATGTGAACCTTTAGCACTATTGAAAGCTTTATCTAAAGGAGGAGACCAAACTGCTATTCCCATTGTATTTGGCACTACTCATATAGTTACTCCTGAGACAGATGATTTTGCTGGGAGTCCAACATCAAAGGCCCAGACTCCTGAATATGTGTTCATCCCGCAAGAGAGCATCTGGGCTAAAGCTCCTTTTACTGCATTAGAGTCTTCAAATACTTTATCATCAGTGATAGGGCATATTCCTCCATTAGCTAAGGTAGAAGCCAGGATTGAATACGATTCTATAGTTAATTCGATAGCGCATGCTTGGGTGTAAAACTGAAGGATCTTCTTAATGTCTGCGGTGGGTTCAATAATTCCAGCTTCTTGCAGCATGTAAAGAAGGGAGTAGTTTCTATCTGCTGTTGCGATCTCACTTAAGTAGATCTCATTATTGAAATGCACTTTCCTCCCTCCAATCATATTCTTAACAATTCGTGCGTAGTATTCATATTTTCTGTTAATTTGGTGACCGTGATAGATCAAGTTACTGCAAGTTAGAGCTCCAGAATTGATCAAAGGGTTATGAGGCTTTTTCTCTGATAATTCTAATGAGTTAAATGCCTGTCCGCTTGGCTCAGTTCCGATGAAAAGAGAAACCTTTTCATTTCCATGCTCCTCTAGGGCTATCAAGTAGCTGACCACACTTGAAATAGCTTGAAGGGTGACAAATGAGTCGGTGTCTCCGAAGTTAAATACTTGGCCATCGACTGTTCAGATTGAAACAGCGAATGAGTTCTTGTCTGCCTTTCTCAGACCAGGTATGTACTTCGGTATTTTACCTTTGAAATCCATTGCTTTATACTTATCAAAAATTTTCTGAGCTTTAGCCTTGAAGCTATCTCAGTCAGATACAGTGACTTGATTATTGCTGATCCTAGTGAAGAGGTTGTACATTGGCTGCAATATCTGTTTGAATTCTTCAAATCCAATATCTCTTTTCTCTTTCTCGAGATCCTTGACAACCTGAATGAAGTCCTTTATTCTTGGATCTGTAAGAAGGATGGAATTGGACTGGAATACATAAATCATTTTCTCTGTCATTGTGGTTACATATGGAGGATATTCAGCATTTTTGATTCTCTCGTATTCATTCTTTATTTTCTTCTCAATATTTTTGGATGTCTGAGGTACAAAGCTTTCAAGTGCTATTGACTTCTTGCTATTAAAAAACTCCTAAATTTGTAAACATTTTGGTGCTACTTCTTTACTGCCAAGTCTCTTTCTTGCATGAGATCCGAATACTGAAACTATGTAACAGATTTAATTTTTGAAAGTTTTGGTGAACTTACTTGAGTTGGCAATAGTCTTCCTTCTGCATGATAAGTATTGGTTTCTTTTAAATGTTGAATTCTCTATAATTAGATGGGTGAATAATTGGATCTTGAATGTGATGGTATCACTGAAATGAGCTATCACAGTTTTGTTCAAATAGATGAAAAATCTTTAATTTTAAGTGTTTCTGTTATGTATCTTTATCTTTAAATTTAAAACCAAAATGCGAGTAATGCCAAACTTCCTAATTTCTATGTTACCAGAAAATCCTCAAAAATAATGTTTTAAAGTATAATTCCAAATCTCAAGACCCCAATTAGTCCTAGTTCCTTATTGATCCAACCCAGATTAGTCAATTCGCATTCTAATCTTATACCTCACCAGAGTGGTTCCAAGCCAGGATGCATTAGATGTTAAGTAAACTTACTCTTAGCAATATTTACTTTTGTATTCTTGGCTTCTTCTAGCATATTTTCAGATTCCTTGCTTTCCTGGTCCGAAGTAGTATCACTACGGGAAGAATGCTCCGAAGAAATGAAGTCTCTGTGTGAATGCACTGTATAATTAAGTGTAATGGCTTACCAACATCTAAATGGTGGTTCCCTGCCTTTTTCATTATTTATTTATGATTTAATATTTATTTTTGGGGTTTTGGGGTTTTGGGGTTTTGGGGTTTTGGGGTTTTTGG